TACAGTGCACACATGTGGGCCTACCAGCTTTCTCCTGCTTGATTTGATGCCACTAGAATTATTGAGTAAATATACATCCGAAACACTGGCTCGTAAGACATATATATACGGCCGAAACAGTCAAAGGGTTAAAGTAAAAACAGTACAAAGAAGGCAGTTTAATAGAGTTGAAAGAGGTTATAGCAGTTGTGAGATGCAAAGGAAGAACAAATGAAAGAATGTGTAAGGTATTATCAGCAATTTTTTCTGGGAATAAAACAGTTTTAAAGAGAAGTAAGGGCTTCAGCATCTAGCCGGCATTTATACACTCACTAGACGTGATGAAAGAAGCAGTATATAGGATCGGACATGTTGCTGAAATGTAAGAATAATATTACCTCTGAAGGGATTCAGGAAAACCAGATAGCTGTACTTGACTTTTGGAGGTGGGAAGAGGATGTTGCAGTTCAACAGGGTATCATTAGATTAAAATTATTTCTTAGTTAAAAAAATGAAATGCAAGTGGATGTGCAGCTGTCCGATTTCCTCAATGTATACAAATGGTGCTTACCTTGATCACATCACTAATACAACACAGCTGCTACCACACAAGCTGTCTGCACATAATTAAATTCAAACATAATTCATGTTACTGCAAAATAATAAATACTGTACTTGCTGAAATTGTAAGTGCATTTCCTCACATGAATGTTGAATGTAAATTAATAATCAGATGACTATAAACCTACTGAAAAAATCTTAAAATACATGAAACTCAATAACCATGAAGAGCTCAAAATATCACCAGTTTGGTAATACTTTATAATACGAAATTTTAAATTAAATATCACCAGTTTGCTAATACATACTTAAGAATATGAAAATTTTAAATTAATTTTCTTTTTATTATATAGTTAAGGCAAAGAGCCATGGTGATAATTTGAGGCTCAACTCTTGCTTTAATTAAAAAAAATACACTAATTCTTTCACAGGCTTGCCTCATACTTTAAAAATAGGACAATACTGAAAAAAAAAAAAAAATTGTATGATCAATGCATGCTTGTATCAGTATGTAAAAGTGACCAAGTGCAACAAACAAATGTGTAGTGTTGTGCTGCTACAACACACAAGAACAGTATCATCAGTGAGGTTATGTCACACAGCTACACTAGTGATGGTGTAACACACAAGAACAGTATCATAGTGAGGTTATGTTATACAGCTACACTAGTGATGGTGTAACACACAAGAACAGTATCATAGTGAGGTTGTGTCACACAGCTACACTAGTGATGGTGTAACACACAAGAACAGTATCATAAAGACTGCCACACAGCTAGACTGGTGATGGTGTAACACACAAGAACAGTATCATAAAGACTGCCACACAGCTAGACTGGTGATGGTGTAACACACAAGAACAGTATCATAAAGACTGCCACACAGCTACACTGGTGATGGTGTAACACACAAGAACAGTATCATAAAGACTGCCACACAGCTAGACTGGTGATGGTGTAACACACAAGAACAGTATCATAAAGACTGCCACACAGCTACACTGGTGATGGTGTAACACACAAGAACAGTATCATAAAGACTGCCACACAGCTACACTGGTGATGGTGTAACACACAAGAACAGTATCATAAAGACTGCCACACAGCTACACTGGTGAAGGTGTAACACACAAGAACAGTATCATAAAGACTGTCACACAGCTACACTGGTGAAGGTGTAACACACAAAAACAGTATCATAAAGACTGTCACACAGCTACACTGGTGAAGGTGTAACACACAAGAACAGTATCATAAAGACTGCCACACAGCTACACTGGTGAAGGTGTAACACACAAGAACAGTATCATAAAGACTGCCACACAGCTACACTGGTGATGGTGTAACACACAAGAACAGTATCATTGTAAGGTTGTGTCACACAGCTACATTGCTGTTGCTGTAACACACAACAATGTACATGCAGTTTTCTAGAACTCACAAGTATGACTAAAAACAAAATATAAAATACAGTAGTAAAATGAATGTTCAGTACATAATTCACCAGTGAACAAATTATTATAAAGCTAGGACAAGAAGACAAAGTTTACCTTGAGTCACTTACAGACAAATCATAAGAATTTAAAATAGTGAACATTAAGCTCTCAACACAAGACTAATATACTGGGCAAAAATATGTAGAGACGTGTCCAGGACTTGAGTCTCAAAGGTGGGAAGTAGAGTGCCTGCAATCCGAAGGATAGACAGAGATGATGTAGTCTGGAGGGCCATTAGGTTGTGACATCCACACATGTTAGACAGAGATGATGTAGTCTGGAGGGCCATTAGGTTGTGACATCCACACATGTCTGACAAGATGACTGTTGAATTAATTATAGTTAATGTGCTTCCTTTTTTTGGGGTCACCCTACCTTGGTGAGAGACATTAACCCTTTGAGGGTCGAGAGGCCCTCTCCTAGACTCGTTCTCAGGGTTGAAAATTTTTCAAAAAAAAAACAAAAAAAAAAAAAAAAGATTTTTTCTCATGAAATGACAATCTTTTTCCGATCATAATGACACCAAAAGTATGAAATTTGATGGAAAACTTACGGAATTATGCTCTCGTGAAGTTACCAGTCTCAAAGTGGTCGATTTCACCCACTTTGAGCCCTATTTTTGGACAATTCCAATGTTGCAGTTGACTAAAATCATAGCTATTTCCCTAGAGCTCCATTTGTTCTATCGATTGAGTACAAGAATCTGCCCATTTACCGATTTCAACTATCCAATAAAGTCGTCAGAAATTGGCAATTTGGGCAATTTCACACAAATTTCAAAAGATGCCAATTTCGAAATAGGGTTCAGAATAAACAAGACAGACAATCATGACACTATAATAACATTTTATATGTTCATTAGTCACGTCTCTAGGCCCCTCTTGCATTACTTTCGCTTTCCATTTTGAATTTTTGTTCTCACAGAAAATAGGTTCTCTGTTATGTATACTACTGCACCATTGTAAAAATGGTATAAATGATATCAGCGCACTTGTGAAAGAATATTAGACTCACCACTTGACATGCATTGGATGCATGGCTTGATTTGTTTACTCTTGAACATTGGCAAAAATCTATCATTTTTGCTACTTTGAGCTCAATTTCAAGGTACAGTGGACCCCCGCATAGCGACTTTAATCCGTGCAAGAGGGCTCATTGTTATGCGAAATGATCGGTATGCGAATGAATTTTCCCCATAAGAAATAATGGAAATCAAATTAATCCGTGCAAGACACCCAAAAGTATGAAAAAAAAAATTTTACCACATGAAATATACATTTTCCTACACACAAAGAGAAGGATACATGCACAATAGTAGAGTAGTACATGCACAATATATATTGTGCATGTACTACTCTACTAAATGAAGAATAAATGACACTTACCTTTATTGAAGATGCAGCAATGACTGATGAGACACTGTGTCCTGGGAGTGCCTTTTCCTCCTGAGTACTGTAGGTCCTGTTTGGCATTTTCTTCCAGAACAGGCCTTATCACACTGTGTATGCCACTATGATTCTTAAATCTCTCAAACCAACCTTTGCTAGCTTTAAATTCACCAATATGAGCACTAGTTCCAGGCATTTTTCCCTGTTCACCTGGGTGTTAGTCGACTGGTGTGGGTTGCATCCTGGGAGACAAGATTAAGGACCCCAATGGAAATAAGTTAGACAGTCTTCGATGACACTGACTTTTTTGGGTTATCCTGGGTGGCAAATCCTCTGGGGTTAATTGTTTCTTGGTATTCTCAATAAGCCACACCAACAATGGTGCTACAGCAGCAGCAGCAGCAGCAGCTGACAGTGCTACAGCAGCAGCAGACGATGCTACAGCAGCAGCTGACGGTGGTACAGCAGCAGCAGCAGCTGACAGTGCTACAGCAGCAGCAGACGATGCTACAGCAGCAGCAGATGGTACTACAGCAGCAGCTGACGGTGGTACAGCAGCAGCAGCAGACGATGCTACAGCAGCAACAGACGGTACTACAGCAGCAGCAGACGGTACTACAGCAGCAGCAGCAGCAGCAGCTGACGGTGGTACAGCAGCAGCAGCAGCTGACAGTGCTACAGCAGCAGCAGACGATGCTACAGCAGCAGCAGACGGTACTACAGCAGCACCAGACGGTACTACAGCAGCAGCAGCAGCAGCTGACGGTGGTACAACAGCAGCAGCAGCTGACAGTGCTACAGCAGCAGCAGCAGCTGACAGTGCAGCAGCAGCAGCAGCTGACGGTGCTACAGCAGCAGCAGCAGCTGACGGTGCAGCAGCAGCAGCAGCTGACGGTGGTACAGCAGCAGCAGCAGCTGTACCACCAATAGTAGCGATGGTTGATTGGGGTTTATTATACAACCTGGCCAGCTCGGAGACACGCACTCCACTTTCATACTTATCAATGATCTTTTTCTTCATCTCTATAGTAATTCTCACCCTTATTGCTGTAGGGTTGGCACTAGAAGCTTTCTTGGGGCCCATGGTCACTTATTTTGCAGATAAAATCACCAAAAACACTGTAATAATACGAAATGTTCCGATTGTATGCTTGGATGTTACCACGGAGGCTGGCTGGTAAACAATGCCACCGGCGGCACATGTGAGGCTGGCTAAGGGCGCACATTGGACGCGTCTCGGATGAAGAGCGGTGAGCGGGTTTTTGAGCGGTATGCGAGGCAAAATTTTTGCGATAAAAGCGAGCGGTATGCGGATTGTACGTTATGTGATGGCGACGGTATGCGGGGGTCCACTGTACTTGTCATTGTGAAACCAATCAAAATCATCTCTAATTTTGTAATAATCTTCCATTCTATCAAATGAGACCAAGGAAACGAGAATACAACCATAAATACCATGTGAAAATACACTAGAAAGTCGCTGTTTTACACCAAAAACACAGTCGAAGTTTTTTTTATTCTCATTATGCACAACGTGCTTCAGGATTTTTTTTATACTGCGCACACTGACCACACAGACCCATTCTTTCACATGTAGGCCTGCCAGCTTTCTTCCACCAGATTTGAAGGCTCTAGAATTTAGGCGTACAAGTACGTGACCAAGCCTGGCTGCAATGACATACTTGTACGTGACCGACCCTCAAAGGGTTAAACATGGTTAATATAAAAAATTTGTTTATCTATATCTTTATATACCATACTCCTTAGACACCCCTCACAACCAGTCTCATTAAAAGACACATCAAAGAGCAATGACTAATTTTATCTTACTTTACCTAATCTTTCATATATCTACCTGTGCAAATGCATACATACATTTATGTATATATACAAATACACACATGCACACTTGGCAAGACTACTTACAAATAATCAGTATAGATTCTAAGAAGGAAAATCTTGCCTAACTAATCTATAGGAATTCTAGGGTATGATGACTAAGACAAGAAGGAATGGAAAGGTCAGTCTTTCAAAATGTTGTGCCTAAGTTGGAATGTTAACAGTCACCACCACCAATTTACAGTACTACTGTAATAAAATTCATAAAAAAAATTTAATGAGAAGGAAAAGTGCAACAAATCAAGAGTAACCATTAGTTTTTTAATTATGACAGAAATATAAATGAGCTGACATGAACCCAAAACATAAATTAAAGAGAGTCCACCAAAATAAGCAGATTATACTATGAAATTATTAACAGATCAAAGAAAAAATAGAAAAGCAAGTTCATACAAAGTACTACTGTAAGTTGTACAGAAGAATTAAGTTATCTAATCTGGATTAACTTTAAGATTTCACAAAAAAAAAAAAAAAAATGTAAAATGCCAGATCAGTGGAAAATAACAAATATTGTACCAATATGTATTTAAAATTACAAGTCTGATTCACAAGGAAGTGTAGTTTCTAAAACACTGAAGAGAATCTAATATTAGAGGAAAGTGGATAAAACATCTCTGCTAAATAATAAGCAGGTTGATTTTTGATAAATCTTTTCATGCAAATTCAGTTATTAACTTCTAATAATAGTTACAAAAATTATACAAGAAATGGGTAGAAAGACTGCATGTAATTAAAAAAACATCTTTTGATATAGATTCTCAAGACATTAATCTGGAAATCTGCAAGGGTTGAAAGATTTCTTTAGAAGAAACAAATCTGTGACAAGAGGACCAGAGGATACAATGCCTTTGTGGGATGATACTACTAGTGGGACTCTTGCAAGAATCAGAGTTCACCCTCATGATGCTTTCATCGTAAACTATATAAATAACCTACTAGAATGAATAAATTATGTATTTGAAAATGTGGATGATGCAATAATCATGTAAAGTAGAAAATCAAGACTGCTCTTTTTTTTTTTTAAGGATTGAGATGAATTGAAAACATACCAGTAAGTAAAAAATAAAAGGTCAAAATATACAGTGAAACCTCACAATAATGAACTAATGGGGAAAGGCATGGGGTGTTCCCCTTAAAAGGAAATCCATTCCATTGATGATGCTTCCAGACAAGAACAAATGCCCCATCCAGTGGACTTAGTCCACTGCATCAATGACATGACTGGATATGTACTAAGAAAAACTATGATTTACTGTAGTACAGTAAATTACCTGAAAATAATAAAAGTTAATAGTAACTATAATAAGTGGTTAATGTAATATATACATTACATTAACAGTACTTTAAAATACAGTACAGTACTTTTATATTATAATAAAGTAACAAAAAATACCACAAATCCAGGGATAATCAAAGACCAAGTGATGATGGTATGTAAGAGTGAATGTAGATAATAAACTGATGTGGGCTTGGCTAGCAGCCTACTGAATGTGGCACATTTCTGACAAATCTACGATGTATAGGATCTGGTCTGCTGAATCAATGGTACTATATATGGATAAATATGCCATGCAAAGGACTTGGTCCATTACATTAATGATTCTATTGGACACCCCATACAGTGGACTCACCATGGTGTCCTCTTGCCAAAAATTTTGCCCATTATATCTAAAATTCATTGCCTAGGAGCCAGTTACACTGAGGTCTTACTGTATATTAATAAATGCCACAAAATGGAAATGGGCACAATTGCAAATAGGCTGAATAATGATTATAGCTTGTGTGATCAAATTTTAAGAGCAAAAGATAAAGAAAAATACCTTGGGGTAATTATAACAAAAAGTTATTACATGAAAATCATAGAAACAGTGTAGTGAGAAACCCTGATGCTATATTTATTGGTTTTGAAATATTTTCTAATACATGGTTTGCAAAATAGTGAATTTGTTTTAGAACACGTATTTGACAAGATGTGGAATGTGTGATTATAGTATGGTGTCAACACCTTTGTGAATACAGTCAAAATAAAGTTAAAAGACATGAAATAAAGTCAACAACTAATAAATATAAGTTACAAAGAAAGGTTAAAGCCACTGGAATTGTCCTAATTGGAAGATGAGAAGAGCAGTAATAGTGACAAATTTATGAGTGCAAAATAAAGTAGATAGGGACTTCAGTGCCAACAATCAGGAAAACAAGGGGTCATTACTGTACTCTAAATTATGGTACATAAAATGCAATGTAGAAAGGACAGTGGGAAACATTTCTTTTAACAAACAGAATGGTAGATAGAAAAAATAGTGCTAAGAACAACTGGAAATTTAAGAAAATTATATGAGGGCAGGACACCATGAACATGAGCAGTATTGCTGTAACTGCACACAAATATTTAGAACCTAACATATTAACAGAGATAAATAAAAATCTATGGAAAACAAGAGATGAAGTATCAGGATGATGATGGTTATAGCACTGAACTCCATATTATTCCTAGTGTATATTAATGACCCGACAATGGGACTAAACTCCTTCATATTACTATTTGCAGATGATGTTGAAATAATTAGAATACAAACTGAAAAGGATTGAAGGTGGCTGTAGAAAGCCCTCAACACACTTCAGGAAATAGTTACTAACCCAAAGCAAAAGATGAGTCATAAATCTTAGTGACAGAAAAGAAAAAAAGACTGAAGCCAGTAAGAAAGGAAAAAGACTGAATATAGAGTACCATCTAGGTAAGAAAACCTAAGAATATCCATTACATTAAACCTGTCTACTGAAATGCTTGTAAAAAATTAACATCAGCAGCTGATGAAAATATGAGTGCCATTCACAAACACACACAGATTTTTTTTCACAACTCTCTCCTGCATACATGCAACTATTCATGAATATACAGTCTCTATATTGAATCGTGATGTAATAAAATGTAAGATAAGGTGACCCCCCCCCCCCCCAAAAAAAAGCCACATTCACCATCATTCATTCAATCGCTGTCTTACCAGAAGTGTAATGGCATCACAATTCCCAACCCTATGGTTGCAACGTTCTCACCCCTCCTTCAGAAGCACTAGGATGCGAAGTCAAGAATTATAAAAATTCAAAACTAAAAAGTGACGAAGTGGAAGCCAAGAGAGAGATACCGACAACTGTTAAGTAATGTAATGCTAGCCTGTGTTGACATCAAGCATAACAAAAAAACTGATTAATGTACACTTTTGAAGTCTTGTCCTAACTGTACACAGAGTGCTGATCAGCACTTCTGTTAAGATAAGTTCATCAACACACAAGAGATATTACACACAGCCAACAATCACTAAACAATACAAGTCAAATAATAAACTGTATTATTAACATAGTTAAAGAAATTTTGGAACAATTACTTATATTGGTACTGGAGACATTTGATCTTCAACAAAAATACAGGAATATATCATGAACTAAACAAAACAGCATTTTGTTTTAATCTTTCCACTAGCAAGATGCTACAGAAAGTTCAGTTGTAGCATTAATGTGATATGTCACATTAATTAATTCAGTCAGCAAAACTTCTCATTTCAGCAATCCTGCAAGTGTCAACAAAACTAACCCTTTGTGTCTTCACTAGCTGTCACTCAAGCAAAGCCTTGTCTATACTTACTTATGCAAAAGTGATATGTAAAATTTAAACTATAAAAGGGTATTGGAAGTGAGAAGCCATATTTGCAATTACTGTAATGTGGATAACTCTTTAGTAAAACAGATTGCAGCTAATATAGAAACACATACATTAGTGATTGCACAAAACGGCTATTATTTTCAGGGGCAGTGCCAGAATTTTTACACTGGGAAGCCCAGGGGTGGCTATCTAGTAAGGTTGGGGACTACAAGACTTATTATGAAACAACATTAGTGCTATTACTATTTTTATTTGGGGGCCTTTAGGGGCTGACCAACTTTTTGGGGGCAAAAGCTCCCTGTCAAGCCCTGCTTTGGTGCCACCACTGATTATATATGGATTTATGCTTTCCTTTATGTCAAGTACCAGAATCACAGGGTATACCTAAGCGGTATTAACTCTTGTGCCACATCACATGAAATCATGGTTGGTTACTAGTGTTATTTTGCCAAAAAAAGAAAACCCCTCACATTAATTTTATCACACTGACATTTTAATATTAGTCAAAATTTTCCTTGAAAACATTATTAGAAAGGGAAAATAATTTTTCTTATAAAATAATTTTAAAAAATTATTTTTATGTAAACGTAAAGATATAAAGAATATTGAGCTTCATTATATCTTACATATCTCATGTCCAGGCTTTGTCATTTGTCTAACATGTATGTAGATATGTACTTTACATGCATTAATAGCCGAAATATTTTTTCGCCTTTACGTACCAAACATGTATCTATATCAGAAACAGTGCATAATTTTCCACTACACAGTAGGGTGAAAGGTGATATTTCCTCCAAGCATTTCTAAAATAATTAAATTTCCTATGCTTGTTCATACTGACAATAAAACCTCTGTGTAATGCACCCTTATGCAACAGATTTAGGACAAAAACAAATAATATGGCTGCATGGGGGGATGTCCAACAGAATTATCAATTTAGCAGACCAAGTCTGCTGCAGTGCATGATTTTCCAGTCAGGTTGTACCATCAGTGAAGCAGACCAAGTCTGCTTCATCACAGGTGTGTGTTGTCTGGGCTGCAACTAGGACCTGTCCATTTTCATTAGTCCTGAGCAAGCTGGGCCAGCAACTCAATTTGCATCAGTTTGTCACTGTCTGTGGAATCTCTCATGTACTATCATCATTTGGTCTCCAATTTTTTGGGGTTTACAGTATTTAGCATTACTTAAATCTTTTAATGCATTCAAAAACTCCACCTGCCAACATTTTTGACTTCAGCTCAACTGCTTGGATCTCCTACAACCTCCATATATCTTTGAAAAAAAAAATATACATATAAGACTAGGTGGGTCCAAGCAGTACATCATGGAGTAACACTGCCTAACTAGCATAAGTAAACAATGAAACCAGGACCTGTTGTTCCAGCACCAGCTTCCCTACCAACAAACAGGCTGTGGAACTCCTAGGAAGATGCCATATCCATTCCAAATTTATTACAATTTCACGATACTAACAGTGGAATTCAATCAATAAGCACACCACACAGATTTAATCCATGATAACCCATCACAGTTCAACAATGTGACTTATTTCCATGTTTCAAGAACATTATACCATGAAATAATTGTAATTACATAAGATTTCCTTGTATATATACGTTTTACGGTGGTCTGGAAGGCAAACAGAAATGATGTATATGAAATTATGTACACTATGTTTATATGACTTGTGATATTCCTCAAACTTAATTATGTAATATAATTAACTTAGATAACACAATATAGTCAAATAATGTGACATATTTCCATGTACTGAGAAGTATCACTCCTTGAAACAATTGTAATATCACATGTAATCCTTGTACATACTGTTAAAAGACCAATGCAGTAAAGATTTTTTTTTTTTTTTTAGCATACCAGCCATCTCCCAGTGAGGTAGGGTGACTAGGGAAAGAAGAAATGCTTTCACCATCATTCACTCCATCACTGTCTTGCCAAAGGAGGAGAGCAGATACTACAGTTCAAATGCCCCTTCAAACTACAAATATCCCCACCTCTCCTTTAGAATGTAGGTACTGTACTTCCCTCCTCCAGGACTCAGTCCAGCCAATCAGTTTTCCTGAATCCCTTTGGAAAATGTACTTCGCTCATATTCAAGCAACTCATCAAATCCCCAAAACTATTTCCCTTCACTCCTATTTAACATGCTCATACATACTAGCTGGACATCCAAGCCCCTTATTCACAAAGCCTCCTTTGCCTCCAACCTTTCCTAAGGCAGCCCCTATCCCAACTTCTCTCCACTGCAGATTTATACACCTTCAAATTATTATTATTATAATCAAAAAGAAGCACTAAGCCACAAGGGCTATGCAGCGCTGCAGGGTAGGGAAGGAAGCGAGAGTGTTGGGTGGTAGGAGGAGGGAGGGATGATCAGTAGGTTACAGAAAACAGCTGGGCAGGGGATAGTGCGGGGGTAGAGGGTAGCAAGAGATTGAGGAAGAAAGGGCTGAAGGTATCATCAGTTTGAGAAGTAAGTCAGTTGTTGTCAAAAAGTCAATGAGAGAGTCCAGATGAAAGGTGGGTCCATCAGCAAGAAGGGAAGGTAAAGAGAGAGCAGCAGAGCAAAGACGACACTGGAGGTATATTCTGCGTGCTAGTTGATAAAATGGGCAGTCTAATAGAATGTGGCTAACTGATAATGGAACCTGACAATTCTCACAGAGAGGAGTAGGGCGCCTCTCCATGAGATAACCATGAGTAAGATGAGTATGGCCAATGTGAAGACGGGAGAGAGTAGTCTCCCAACCTCGACACTGGTGATAAGAAGACGGCCAGTAACCTATACTCGGTTTAATAGACTGAAGTTTGTTACCAAGCAGAGTAGACCAACATTGTTGCCAACGGGTGTGAAGGTTGGTAGCTATTGCAGCAAAATAGTCTGTAAATGGAACACCTCTATATGAAACTGGTAGGTCATGTACTGCTGACCGCGCAGCAGTGTCTGCCTGTTCATTGCCCTGTATGTCAACATGACCAGGGACCCAACAAAAAACAATATCTTTATGCTTGGAAGAGATGCGGCGTAGCCAAAGTTGGATATGGAGGACTAAGGGGTGAGGTGTATCAAATTTCTGTATAGCCTGTAAAGCACTAAGGGAGTCTGAGACAACCACAAATGATGACACAGGCATAGATGCAATACGGATAAGTGCTGCAAGAATGGGGTACAATTCAGCAGCAAAGACACTAGCCGAAGATAGTAAATGCCCTCATACGACGCTGTCCGGAAACACTGCTGCGAATCCTACGCCGTCAAAAGACTTAGAGCCATCTGTGTACACTGCAATGCCATGAGAATGAGAGTGGAAGTGGTCAAGAAAAAGAGAGCGGGAAGCTACCGTAGACAGTTGGGCTTTCAAGCAAGGGAGTGAGAAAGAACAGACTCGAACAGCTGGAACTTCCCAGGGGGGTAGGGAAAAGGGAGATGCTACATGAACATAGAGAGGTGGTAATTGAAGAGAAGAAAAGAGCGAATGTAGGCGAAGAGAGAAGAGACGGAGCAAACAGGGGCGACGAACAAATAAAGAATGTCTACTAATATCGGTGACCATTCTATAAATGGAAGGATTGCGGAGATCATGAGAGCATACATAGTAGCGAAGGCAATGGGCATCCCGGCGATCGGATAAGGATGGAACGTTCGCTTCTGCATAGAAGTTCTCAACAGGGGAAGAGCGAAAAGCACCAAGGCATAAACGTAATCCTTGGTGATGAATGGGGTTAAGGCTAGAGAGAGTAGCAGGAAAGGCCACTGAATAGATCTGGTCACCATAATCAAGTTTCGATAAAATGAGGGCGGAATGTAGGCGAAGGAGAGTTCGACGATCAGCTCCCCATGAAAGATGAGCAAGGGTTTTAAGAAGGTTCAGCCGGCTGTGACAAGTTGCCTTCAGAGAGGTAATGTGAGGTTTCCAGGATAACCTACGGTCAAAGAGGAGGCCTAGAAACCTGACTGTATCACGTTCAAGGATACAGGTGCCATAGAGGTACAAAGGATGATCGGAGATGACAGAATGTCTAGTGAAAGTAATTTGGTGACTTTTGATATTGGAAAATTTAAACCCACGTGTGGTGGCCTAATTCGAAACACGGTCGACCGCATGTTGGAGAGAAACTGTAATGAGGTGACAGTCAGTGCCTGCACAGGCAATAGCAAAGTCATCAACATAGAGTGATGACCAAATATTGGATGGAAGACTAGAGGCCAAATCATTTATAGTAAGGAGAAAAAGTGTTGTGCTCAGAACACATCCCTGGGGGACACCTTCAGCTTGGATAAAGTCCGGGGAGAGCACATTATTAACCTGAACATGGAAATGTCTGTCAGTTAAAAAGTTCTTAAGGAAGGATGGTAGATTGCCTCGAAGACCTAAGGAGTGGGCTTGGGCCAAAATATTATACCTCCAAGTTGTGTCATATGCCTTCTCAAGGTCAAAAAATATGGCAATAACTGAGTGGTTATACGCAAAGGCATTATGAACATATGTATCCAAGCGTAGGAAGGGGTCTATGGTAGAACGGCCTTTACGAAAGCCATATTGACAAGTGGAGAGACTGTTGTGTGTCTCTAAATACCACACTAAACGTCTATTTACCAGGCGTTCCATCACTTTGCAAACTGCACTGGTAAGAGCAATGGGACGATAGTGGGAGGCTTCATGTCCCGTAGTACCCGGTTTGCGGAAAGGGAGAACAATGGCAGATTTCCACAGCTGTGGAAGAACTCCCTGTGATGTGACTAAATAAGATTGAAAAGGCGTAATAAGACTGCAAGGGCTGACTGATGTACATGTTGTAGCATACGAGTATGAATGTGGTCGGGCCCAGCTGCCGATGATCGACAAGCTGAGAGTGTTGCCTCCAGTTCCTGAAGTGTAAAAGGCACATTATACTGTTCTTCTCTGAGAGAAGAAAAGTCCAAACGTGCTAACTCTCTGCCAGACTTTGAGGAAAGAAACGAGGGGCATAGATGGAGCCTCTGAGAAATACGGACCAGATGATTGCCAATTTCATTGGCAACATCTAGTGCATTTGCTATATTAACACCGGCAACCCGCAGAACAGGAGCTGGGTCAGGAGAATATTTACCACTCAGTTTTCGTACTTTTTTCCAGACTGCACTCATAGAGGAAGCAGAGGTGATGGTGGAGAGACAGTCTCACCAGCAAGTGCGTTTAGCGTCACGGATGACACGGCGAGCGATTGCACGCTTCTGCTTAAAATCAAGAAGTCTCTCCGTGGTTCTATTGTACCGATACCTGCCCCACGCAGCGCATTTCAAACATACTTCATGAGCACAAGCAGGAGACCACCAAGGCACGCATTTCTGAGAATGTCTTCCCGAAGTTTGGGGTATAGAATGAGAAGCTGCCTTTAAAACGGAGGACGAGAAGAGGTGTAAAAGCTCATCAATGGAGGACGAAGAAGGAACCTCACTAAAAACAGTTAGCTGTGAGTAAAGGTTCCAATTTGCCTGATCAAATTGCCAGCGTGGGATACGAAGAGGTGGTGAATATGAAGGGGAAGTAAGAATGATTGGGAAATGATCGCTGTTATGTAAATCCAGGAGAACAGATCTGGTGAAGTCTAATGCGGCGGAGGAAGAGCAGACTGAGAGATCGATGCAAGAGAGAGTATGAGTCTGAGGATCAAAATGGATGTGAGTACCTATATTTAAAACATGGAGGGGGTGGGTAGCAAGAAAAGCTTCTAACTGAATGCCACGGGAATCACAGTGAGACCCCCCCAGAGGAAATGATGGTCATTAAAATCGCCAAGTAACAGAAGTGGTGGCGGTAATGACGAAACAAGAAAGGCAATATCTGGGACAGATAATGCCCGAGAAGGAGAGAGATACAAAGAACAGAGTGTTTACCACCTATGCAAGTGGATACAGGCTGCTGTGTAATGCAGCGGTACAAACAAATAGCTGATGGTATGGAATATCAGTGCGCAGAAGAAGGGCACTTTCATTAAAGGTCCCATCAGGAAAAGGATCTGAAGAATACAGTAAATTATAGCCTGAGATAGAATAGATAATGGCAGAGTGTAATTTTGGTTCCTGTAAGCAAACACCAACAGGGGAAAACTGGGAGAGCAACCTCTGAAGCTCACCACGATTACCCCTGAGGACGCGAATATTCCACTGTAAATAGGCCATGATTTTCAACGATAAAGATACCTGAAATCCGCAGGTAAGGGTACCTACGGACTAGAGGGGTTAGAAAAGTCTACATGTGGTGGCAAAGGAAAACGTTCAAGTAGCGAAGGAACGGTGCGTTGTGAAGAAAGGAGTTGCGCAGATGGAGAAGAGGAAAGAGAAGGAACAGAGGGTGGATCAGTGTCCACTGATGGTTTGGTCTCTGCAATATATTCAGAGATTGCTTCAAGTGTTTCGGAGTTCAGAGACATCGTATGGGAGACAATATTGGAGATGGAAGGAGGAGAAGTTTGAGTAAAGATCGGAGCTGTAATGGACTGTACCAAGGTAGGGGGGGCAAAAGGGTGGAGGGAAGTGGAGAAGTGTGGGAGGGTACAGAAGAGGCAGAAACCTGGGAGGTGGCAGAAGAGGAAGAAACGTGGGAGGGGACAGGGGAGGAAGGCACAGCACGAGGAGGAGGATGAACCTCCATACTTGTAACAGAGCCACTGAAAGGGGAAGACTCAGGTACAGAGACCGGGAAGGTAAAATGTGGAGGTGGATGAAGAGAAGGAGGGGTTAAAGGAGATTTTTTGGGCTTCTGAGAAGTAGAGGGACGATTGGGAGGAGGTGTTGTACGAGGTCTTGTCGATACCGGGATTTGTGAGGGAGGACACGAAGAAGTGAGGACAGACTGAGGAGTTGAAGTAGGGACATCTGAGCCCAGGACAGCAAAAGAATTAGATACAGGAGTGACTATGGGACTGGCAACCGCAGAGGAGGCTGCAGAAGATGTGACCCCAGAAGTGGGGGGACGCTTTGAAACACGAGAATAAGAAACACGGGGCAGTCTCCATTGGAGGCAGAGATGAGAAACTGCCATAGCATAAGGGAGACCTTCTGCCTCTTTGAGGCAATGAATTTCCCGCTCATTTAAGTAGACTTGGCAATGGCGAGAGTACGAAGGGTGAGCCTCATGACAACTGAGGCAAGAGGGAGTTCGACTGCAAGTCGTATTAGAATGGTCATCGGCACCACAGACTGGGCATTCGGCTATAGATCTGCAATATTTTGCTGGGTGGCCAAATCGCCAGCAATTCCTACACTGTTGCAGTGTAGGGATCACCTTCCGAACATGTAACCAATGTCCTGCTACATAAACAGGATGGGAGTTCACGGCTGTCAAAAGTTAAATGAGCCACATTGCAAGGGTATCGTCTTAGCCTGCGGGCAGGAAGAACATAAGTGTCTACCTTGAGAATTGGGAGATCTTGGAGTTCCAGCTGTTCGAGAATGTCAGTGCCACATGTCTGGAAATTCTGTTGGACTATGGTATGGGGCAGAATAACAGTACCACTACAAGAATTGAGGGAATGAAGTTTTTCGATAGTGACAGGAATAGTATCGATATGTGAAAGAAGAGAAAGATCATGAGCTTGAGTAGAATTCTGGACTGTGATGATGCGCGTACCACTCTTAAGAGCATGAAAGGAAATATCTCTACCAACGTGGCGTAGGAGCGCTTTGCCAATACTATGGTTGGAAAGATAGGCAGTAGAAGAAGTCTGTCTTAATGTAAAGAATTTAGTCCATTGTGTGGTCTGAAACTGAGTGTGGAGAGGGAGTGCATGACGTGTCGGTCTTTTCCGAGTAGAAAGGGAGGGTAACGAAGTAACATCATTAGGAGATTGTCGTTGACGTTTAGAAGTGGGACCAGAGTCGGTCTGACATGGGACGGGCTGGCGATTCAAAAATTGCCGCACCGTAGAGGGAGAAGCCGGAAGCATAGTCAAAGGAGAGCGGAGGTCAGACAAATCGAAGGAGTCAGTGGAAGCCCCAGTACCTGAAGCGGGTGAGGAAACAGCACCAGCAAGAGGTACAGGGGCCTAAGGAATGTCTGAAGAGTGGCCAAAAGACGAGGCGAGGTCAGAACGGGGTGCGGTAACAATAAGGGGCCCGGGGGTAGCGGGGTCATGGATCGGGAACTCCATGGTTAGGTTACTTCTTTCTTTTTGTTTTTAAGAAAAAAAAAAGAAAGAAGAAAAGAAAATAAAAATAAAAAAAAGAATAAAAAAGGGGGGACCGGGGAGGGATAGTTCCTAGGAGGAATGAAAGGGCCAGAAATCTCCCTCTGCACCCAAGAGGACCTCAGCACCGCAAGTAGTGCAGATGCAGCATGGAACCCATGCCATACCCTACCCATCATGCCAGTAAACCAGCAATCTGGGATAGCAACCTCACATCTGCCAAGCTACCTCAGTGGACAAAAGAGAGGGCGGCCGGATATCCGCCACAAAGCATACCTCCTTCAGCCACCACCCCGGAATCCGAAAGGTGGCTTCCAGAGATACACCCATTGCCTGAAAGACACCCAAAGCCACCCTCTGGGACACCGGAGAGGGATCAGGACATCCCGAGGCGATCCAGATTCCACGGCAAACTACGCCACCGCCAAGAACCTCAACGGAATGGGATGGACCCTGGTACCCTTTTCCCTACCCAGGAACTAGCACGCCTGTGGGAAAAATCCCAAAGGCCAAAAAAGGAAGGGCAAAAGGGAGGGGTGGGGAGGAGGAGGAGGAAAGGAAAAAGGGGAGGATGGGATGGGGAGGATGGGATGGGGAGGATGGAATAGGGAAGGGGGGATTGGGGGGTAATTAGGTTCGGTCTGAGCAAGGAGACTGACAGGTCTAATTCCTCAGACCAAGAGCCTCTTCACCACGCCAAGGAGCCCCCCTTGAAGAGGATACACCTTCAAAGTCATCCTATTTTGCTCCATCCTCTAAATGTTGAAACCACCTCAACAACCCTTCTTCAGCCCTCTGGATAATACTTTTAGTAACCTTGCACTTCCTCCTAATCTCCAAACTACAAATTCTCTGCATAATATTTACACCACACATTACCCTCAGACATGACATCTCCACTGCCTCCAGCCTCCTTGCTGCAACATTCACAACCCATGCTTCACACTCATAAAAGTGTGTTGGTGCTACTGTACTCTCATGCATTTCCCTTTTTGCCTCCATGGACAACATCTTTGTCTCCATTGATGCTTCAATGCACCACTAATCTTTTTTTCCTCCTCAATTCTATGGCTTGCCTAAATTATTTGTTACCCTCATTACCTTGCTCTTTCCTATGTTCACTTTTAAGTTCCATTTTTTATATCTTCTATCAAATTCATCCACCAACCTTTGCAACTTCTCTTCAGAATATCCCAAAAGCACAGTGTAAGTGGTAAAAAGTAACTGTGACAACTCCCACTTTGTATTAGATTCTGCATATTTTAATCCTGCACCTCTTCCCAACACCCCAGCATACAACCACATCAATAAATATGTTAAACAACTGTGGTGACATCATGCATCCTTGTCTAAGGTCTACTTTTACTGGAAAATAATCTCCCTCTCTCCTACATATCCTAACCTGAGCCACACTATCCTCATAAAAACTCTTAACTGCTTTTGATAACCTACCACCTATTCCATACATTTGCAACATCTACCACACTGCTCCCCTATTCACCCTATTATAAGCCTTTCTAAATACATGAATGCAACAAAAGCTTCCTTACCTTAATGTTAATATTGTTAACTTATATGCTTTACTGTAAACACTTGGTCTACATATTCCCTACCCTTTTTAAAGCCTTCTTGTTCATCAGCAATCCTGTTCTCTGTCTTACTCTTAATTCATTCAATAATAACCATATACTTTACCTAGCATACTCAACAAACTTATTACCGTGTAATTCTTACTCTCTCTTTTGTCCCCCTTTTCCTTATACAAAGGAACTACACGCTCTCTGCCAATTGCTAGGTACCTCCCCCTTTTTCATATATTTATTGAGAAAAAGTACCAACCACTCCAAAACAATATCCCCACCTGCTTTTAACATTTCTGTCTTGATCCCATCAATCAAAACTGCTTTCTCCATTTTCATCTTACCCACTGCCTCATGCACTTCCACCATCCTCACATCTGGCTCTTCCTCACTCCCAAAAGATGTCATATCTCCCTGGTCAATGCACGAAATAACTGCCACCCTTTCCTCATCAACATTTAACAGCTCCTCAAAATATTCCTACCATCTTCCCAATACCTCCAACTCCCATCTAATAACTCCCCCTTTTGTTTTTAACTGTCAAATCCATTCGTTCCCTAGGCTTACTCAACCTATTAATCTCACTCCACAACCTTTCCTTATTCTCAGCAAAATTTGTTGATAGAACCTCACCTACTCTCATTTGCTCTCCTTTGACACTCCCTAACTACTCTCTTAACCTCTCTTTTATGTGTGGCAGTACAGAACACCACTGCACAATCTACACACACTGTGCTGGAGTATGGATGTGTAAATCACTGAGTCCAGCACAGGTAAGACTACAATCACTGCTGTAATGGCTAGCCATAGGAACAGATGCTACCCTTCCTTCAGAATTCCCCACCTTCAGGCTTGCCCCACCTTCACGTGACTAAATCTCAAGGATGTGACTCAGTCTTTATACTGTTCATTCTACGTAGAACAATATCTGGCTATGCATTTCCCCACGTTTGAAATACTAAAACACCTTGAAACATCTAATATCATAAGAAAGTAGTATACATATTGTTAAATATTAAAAATGATAAAAAAATTTGGCAAAACATTTTACATTTAAAAATGATAAAAAATTTGGTAAAACATTTCACATTTACATCACTGCTGCTAACGAGTAATCATTTTTTCACTAACTTCAACTTACCATAAAATCTTAAGTTTTTGTCAGATTCACTCATCTTAGTCTTATTCAATACAGAAAAAATGCACTCTGTAAGAAACAAAGATCTCTCTTTTATTTATAAAAATCTTGCCATATACATACAGGAATTTTAATTTCTAGGTATGCCACAGGTAAGGGGGTAGTAAAGTACCCCAAACAGTGTTACTAACAATGGCCTCCAAAGCAAGTGATGGTGCCAAGAAGAAATACATGAATCTGAGTGTTAAGCAGAAACATGAATTACAGTAGACCCTCGCCTAACGAACGCATCGCATAACGTTAAATCCGCCTAGCGATACATTTTAATGCAAAAGTTTTGCTTCAGCTAGCACTAAAAAACTCGCCCAACACGATTCGTTCCATTCGAGACGCGTCCACGTGTGGCCTGAGCGCGCCTCACTTGTCCCGTGGGTGCCAGTGTTTACAAGCCAGCCACCGTGGTCGCATCCAAACATACAATCGGAACATTTCATATTATCACAGCGTTTTTAGTGATTGCACCTGCAAAATAAGTCACCATGGGCCCCAAGAAAGCTTCTAGTGCCAACCCTACAGCAAAAAGGGTGAGAATTACTATGGATATGAAGAAGAGATCATTACTAAGTATGAAAGTGGAATGTGTGTCTCCGAGCTGGCCAGGTTGTACACAAAACCCCAATCAACCATCACTACTATTGTGGCCAAGAAAACGGCAATCAAGGAAGCTGTTCTTGGCAAAGGTGCAACTTTGTTTTCAAAACAGAGATCGCAAGTGATAGAAGATGTTGAGAGACTGTTATTGGTGAGGATAAACGAAAAACAGATAGCAGGAGATAACATCTCTCAAGCGATCATATGTGAAAAGGCTAGGAAGTTACATGACGATTTAATTAGAAAAATGCCTGCAACTAGTGGTGATGTGAGTGAATTTAAGGCCAGCAAAGGTTGGTTTGAGAGATTTAAGAATCGTAGTGGCATACATAGTGTGATAAGGCATGGTGAGGCTGCCAGTTCGAACCAAAAAGCAGCTGAAAAATATGTGAAGGAATTCAAGGAGTACATAGACATTGAAGAATTGAAACCTGAACAAGTGTTTAATTGTGACGAAACAGGCATGTTTTGGAAGAAAATGCCAAGCAGGACCTACATTATTATTTTATTTTATTATCACACTGGCCGATTCCCACCAAGGCAGGGTGGCCCGAAAAAGAAAAACTTTCACCATCATTCACTCCATCACTGTCTTGCCAGAAGGGTGCTTTACACTACAGTTTTTAAACTGCAACATTAACACCCCTCCTTCAGAGTGCAGGCACTGTACTTCCCATCTCCAGGACTCAAGTCCGGCCTGCCGGTTTCCCTGAACCCCTACATTACTCAGGAGGAAAAGGCACTCCCAGGACATAAGCCTATGAAAGACAGGCTTACTCTGTTGATGTGTGCTAATGCTAGTGGTGATTGCAAAGTGAAGCCTTTATTGGTGTATCACTCTGAAACTCCCAGAGTGTTCAGGAAAAACCATGTCCTCAAGGCTAATTTGTGTGTGATGTGGAGGGCAAACAGTAAGGCATGGGTCACTAGAGACCTTTTCTATGACTGGTTACACCATGCATTTGCCCCCACTGTGAAAAATTACCTCCTGGAAAATAAATTGGACGTTAAGTGCCTCCTGGTATTATACAATGCTCCTGGTCATCCTTCAGATGTGGCAGAGCAACTTTCTGGGGACATGAGCTTCATTAAGGTCAAGTTTTTGCCTCCTAATACAACTCCTCTCCTGCAGCCCATGGACCAGCAGGTCATTGCAAACTTCAAAAAACTCTACACAAAACCTATGTTTGAAAGGTGCTTTGTAGTGACCTCAGAAACTCAATTGACTCTAAGAGAGTTTTGGAGAGATCCCTTTAGTATCCTCAATTGTGTAAAGATTATAGGTAAGGCTTGGGAGGAAGTGACTAAGAGGACCTTGAACTCTGCTTGGAAGAAACTGTGGCCACAATGTGTAGAAGAAAGGGATTTTGAAGGGTTTGGGGCTAACCGTGAGAAGTGTATGCCAGTTGTGGAATCCATTGTGGCATTGGGGAAGTCCTTGGGGTTGGAGGTTAGTGGGGATGATGTGGAAGAGTTGGTGGAGGAGGACAATGAAGAACTAACCACTGATGAGCTGCAAGATCATCTTCAACAGCAAGAGGCCAGACCTGAGGAAACTGCTCTGGAGGAGGGGATAGAGAAATTGAGGAAGTTGCCTACTTCAAAGATTAAGGAAATGTGTGCAATGTGGCTTAAAGTGCAAACCTTTTTTGATGAAAATCACCCTCACACAGCTATTGCAAGCCGTGCTGGTGACTATTACACTGACAATGTTGTGAAACACTTTAGGAATGTCATAAAGGAACGGGAGGTACAGGCCTCTATGGACAGATAAGTTGTGCGACAGAGGTCCAGTGACTCTCAAGCTGGTCCTAGTGGCATTAAAAGAAGGGAAGTAACCCCGGAAAAGGACTTGACACCTCAAGTCCTAATGGAAGGGGGTTCCCCTTCTAAACATTAACACCATCCACACTCTCCCCTCCTCCCATCCCACCAATCATCACCATATCTTCAATAAAGGTAAGTGTCATGTAATTGTACATGTCTTCTTCAGTTTGTGTGTATTAAAATTAATATTTCATGTGGTAAAAAATTTTTTTTTTTCATACTTTGGGGTGTCAGGAATGGATTAATTTGATTTCCATTATTTCTTAAGGGGAAAATTAATTTGGCTAACGATAATTTCACCTAACGTTGAGCTCTCAGGAATGGATTAATATCGTTAGGTGAGGGTCCACTGTAATAAGTAAGGTGAAATGCAGTGTCTCAATAGCCTGTTTAAATGAAGATGGTGTAATAACAAAAATAATGTCTGATTCATGGATGCACAGGAATCTAACTGTGAGCTCATCTATCCACCAGAAAAACGTAAGAAAATTACTGTACTACACTTCTCTTTGACTTTCAGGTACTGGACTGTAATTTACTGTACTGTACTATAATACTGTTGTTTATACTTAATATGTTTGGTAGTGTCATCAATGCAGTATTTGTTCATTTGTCCATGTCTGGAAGTTGACTGATGCAGCAGACTATGTCCACTGCATTGATTACTTCCATACAATGGATTTTCGTTAAAGCTAATACTCCCTCCCACAATATTAGTCTGTTACACCAAGATTTTACTTTATGCTCTAAGTCCATCCTTTCATTATATCTGTCTCCTTATATCTAGCTTCTCTAATCCATGTCACTGCATCCTTTTCATCTACCATCAATTATCCTCTCTCTTAACAGTGCTACACTTTAAAATTTTCTCTTCTTATAACAAAAATTAATATAAAAAAATCATTGGGCAAGATAAAAATAGTCCTAAGAGAAACATAATGCAGCATTAGTTTTAGCTTTAGATTAGCATTTCAGCCTCAAATTTCATTTCCTGAAGTGTAACATCATTTTGTAAAACACTGAGTGAATTGACTGAGGAACAATGTTCACAGATCCTTATACACAGAATAAAAAAAATATCGACCCTTTTAAAAGATCCAATACTCATGGAATTAACCTCTTTTAGAGGCACCTTGTACAGTACAGAAGGCATCATAAATGTGCATAAACAGATCACACAGATAATGAGAATCCTCACCTTATTGTCTTAAAAATAAAATACTGAAATATTTATGGGTTCATCACCTAAATAAGTATTTTCTAGGGTTACCCTTCCTAGGCACTGATAAGGCTAACTTATGGAGGATAGAAGTCAGTCAATACCCTCTAAACCTGCTTAATGGCACTTGAGATTTTGGGGTTGGAGGACATGTCTAAGCCACAAAACCTACACTTACCAAGGTTCCAAATGTTTTCCATTGAGTCCAATGAGTAGCCAGGCCAGTCATTAACCTTTTCACTGTCGGTGACAAATAGGTACGGCTTACAAGCTAGTGTCAGTGATGTATTAATACGCCAAAATTCTAGTGGCTTCAAATCTATCGGGAGAAAGCTGGTAGACCTACATGTGAGAGAATGGGTCCGCGTGGTCAGTGTGCACAGCATAAAAAAAATCCTGCAGCATGCAGTGCATAATGAGGAAAAAAAAAACGCTGACGTGTTTTTGTTTTAAAACACCGACTTTGAGGTGTATTTTTGTATGGTATTTATGATTGTATTCGTTTTCTTGGTCTCATTTGATAGAATGGAAGATATACTACAGAAATAGAGATGATTCTGATTGATTTCACAATGAAAAGTACTTTGAAATTGAGCTCAAAGTAGCAGAAATGTTTGATTTTTGCCAATGTTCAAGAGTAAACAAATGACATCACCGTCCAATACGTGTCCAACTGGCCAGTCTGACAAAAGCATACTTACGCACATGCATATTTATGATGCCTAATTAACATACAACATTCTTCTCATGAAAATCATCCTTCCTCATTCATCACCTCTTCACTCTGTTCAGACATTAGAAAACTGACTTCCTTCATTTGCACTGTTCCTTGTTAGTGTGGTATTATAGATCAAAGTGTTCTTTTCCTATGGGGAAAACTTTACTCAAATCTCAATATCAAAATGTATACTCTACGGTATTTTACAATATTTTCGTTTCTTCATTTTTTAACCTTATTTTCAGGAATTTTCAAGAAATTTTTTCCATTAAAATTAAGTGGGTCGAACTATATTTCACTTCTCTTCCAAATTTATATCCATTCCCACCATAAATTTTTCAAAATGAAATTGTAAGGTGGTGGGCAAGGACACGAGCCGCAGCCACCATCTCCAAAGTTGGGGCAGAAACATCCTTCAAGCATCTCACTGCCTGTGCGCTTCATATCTTGATAGGCTACAGTATCTATGATTCCACTCTGGCTACCCTTCTGTTTAAATAAAAGTGTAACTGACTGCTAGACTACAACACTGTTTACATATAACATGCTTTTAAAAATTAGGAAACTGAAAGGCTAAACAATTTTGCCAGGCAAATGGATCTAAAAGCAAATTATCTAATAAAATTTGAATAAAACCATTTTTTTAACACTTTAATTGTCTTCCACTAAGGTAGGATGACCAAAAAAGGGGAAACACATTCATTATAACTCATTCAATAGCCATCTTGAAAGAAATAAGCAAACATCACAATTCAACTGATCTTCCAGACATTTACCCTTCCTTCATAATGAGGCACAGTATTTTTCATCTCCAAGGCTCGAGCCCAGCTAACCAGTTTCCTTAAATCCCTTAACTGCTACATTTGCTCACACCTATAGCATGTCATGCCATGAAAATCACTTGTCTCCACTCACTCTGATCTAACATGCTTACACAAGCCTGTTGGACACTTATGCCCCTAACACTCAAAACCAATTTTACTCCTTCCCTCCAACTCTACCCCTACCTGGCTACTTTGCCAATTTTTTTTTTTTAACACGCTGGCCATCTCCCACCAAGGCAGGGTGATCCAAAAAGAAAGAAAATACTTTCATCATCATTCAACACTTTCACCTCACTCAGACATAATCACTGTCTTTGCAGAGGCACTCAGATACGACAGTTCACATGTCCCGCCAAACAGCCAATATCCCAAACCCCTCCTTTAAAGTGCAGGCATTGTACTTCCCATTTCCAGGGCTCAAGTCTGGCTAACCAGTTTCCCTGAATCCCTTCACAAAATATTACCCTGCTCACACTCCAACAGCTCATCAGGTCCCAAAAACCATTCATCTCCACCTACTATCTAATATGCTCACACATGCTTGATGGAAGTCCAAGCCCCTTGCCCACAAAACCTCCTTTACCCCCTCTCTCCAAGTCTGTTCTATTAAAACAAAACTATGAAGAGATTGCTTGTCATTCCTCCAGGCATACTGTACTTAGCACCATAAAAACTGAAATATAATCCCTCCAATTATATTAGCAGTGATGCTTAACTCTCCCAGTTCAATGATATCCCATTAAGAAAGATGTTCTTGACATTTGCATCAAAAATAAAATAGATTCATTTCATAATTCTCATCTTATTTAAAACACTGAATAATTGTAATGTAACTGAATTAGTACTAATGTACATTCAAGCCATAAACAATATACAGGCTCCCCTCATTTTATGCAAATTCACTATTATGTGATGTCCTATTTCCATCAGTAATTCCATACAGACAACATACACTTACCATATATGACTGATAAAGTTTGCAAAGCATATTTAAGAATCTTGTTATGTGCAGTTAAGTGTTTATGAATTGAATAAGCTTAGAATACCTGCCATGGGCCTGACATGCATCTACAGCATACAACGAGAGATACTTGTACAACTGGGCTTTCAGTGATTTAGTGTAATTATATGAGGTTGCAGATTCAAAATGAGGATATCCTAAATCATCAAAGTTAAAGCACATCCCACACTAACAAATTATATTAGGTATTAAATATTTTATAACAATAGGATTTAATCTTGCCACATGATCTTATTTTGTGATACACTGTGAAAACTATGAACCAAAAAAAATTTTATGAACAAACTTAAATGAAATGTAGTCTGTAGACTACAAACAATATTTAAACTAATTTCTCTGACAAAAGAATGTCAATGAAAAAATAAATATCATATTTCATAGCAGTTGGTACACTGATAATTAACTGGACAACGATTATTAAAAAACAGATCACCGATAATCCAGCAATCAGTTATCTGGTATCCAACAATATCCAAAAGTCTTTTTGATCTGGCATGCATATAGATAATGCTAAAAAAAAGGAAAAATGACAAAAATAGACAATAAAAAAACTATGATCAAGTGCTTCAGAAAATTTGATGCACCCTTTCCCTCAAAGGTGCCAGATAATCAGTGACCTACTGTATCTGGAAAATACAATGTATTGCAACAGATCCTTCCTGCTCCTTCCATACTACATGAATGGAAAGATGATAATAGGATCCCTGTCATGAGTAATGAAGCAAGAATACTGTACTGTCAAAGAGAGGGTTAGTCAAAATGTGACACTTGCCTATGGATATTTTGATCACCCTGTTGAGAAGAATGCAACAATAAACTTGGACCCTTCATGGAGTGTCACAAAGCACCATACTAGGAAACTGAGAACTCCAAGAATTGCAAGGCAAGTATATCACACATGTAAGTACAAGAGGACGGAGATGTCAAGTTTTGCTGATAGTTATGCTAGAGCATAATATAATTCATACAAACTGCATGAAAATTTTGAATTCCTGAAAATATGAATACGAGTCAATTCCAAACTTAAAAGTATTATCACTAAACCAGAGTGATTTTCAAAATCAAAATGTTTTTCTTACTCTCATGCTTAAAAATTTAAAGTGTTTCTACAGGCCAAGTCAACGTTGGATAAAGTTTTCATATTCTAGTCAGAGTTCAGTAATAGGTCCAACAATGGTTACTCCAGGAATGTGCCTAGAATCTCTCTCGCTTGTTCCTTGTTGTCTATGATGATGTGGAGAGGCACTGGGTGTATGGCCTGAAGATGTAGACAAGCTCGAGTGATTTGAATGAATGGGCATTGCCTGAGCTGAACTGGCTTGCACTGTGGTGGGATGAGTGAGATTTGTATGATTGTTATGGCTGGGGTTGAGGGTGGAAAGATGGCTGGGAGTGTTATGCAACATGTAACTGGAATGAAAGTTTGCAGCAGAATGATTTGAGGTATTTGCCACATCCCCTCTTCTCCATGATGAAGCTGAGGCAGTTTCCACAGATTCCAGCGATGAAAGACTATCCTTAGGTTCTCCTTCTGAGGAAGTTGATGCAGTAGGATTGCGCTGTCCCAAGTTTGGAGGTCCCTCAGTTGGGGGACCATGAAGAGTAAGGTCGACCAGTGTCAGCTTTGCTCCATCCTGTCGTAAACTTGGCTCCACAACATTCAGACCATTTACTTTCTTTCGGAGAACATTCACAAGCCGTTCCAAGCGTGTGCACTGGTCATGAAGCTGCCACCTTGAGGCTTCACTTTCTCGCAGCTGTGTGCAAAGGCCCTCCATGTACTCAGCCGAGATACGACTGACACCTACAAAATAAAAGAAATGTGTTAGCTACTAAAAGATAACATACTTTCAAACTGTGCTGGAAACTGAAATATTCGAAAATAATATCATGAACAACTGCACATTACATAAAGTTAGAGTAAATTCCCAGCCACTGGGCAACCACTGCGTGTACGGTAGTATGATTTAATACATTTTTAAGGCATAATAGCAAGACCTAAGAAATACAGTGGTACCTTGGGATACGAATTTATTTCGTTCCAGAAGGCTGTTCAAGTGCCAATATCAAACGAATTTGTTCCCATAAGGAATAATGTAAATTAGATTAATCTGTTTCAGACCACCAAAAATACACTTACAAAAGCACTTACATAAATACAATTACATAACTGTTCGAGTTTTGGGTTGTTCGTATCCCGAGGTACAACTGTATTATGAAATTGTATGTGACTGCAGGCACTATGGGTTCCCCTGAGAGAAAAACAAAAATCCTATCAATGTATTCACAGGTAGTAACAGATGAAAGTGTAAGAGGAGCCCATCAATGTTACTAGAGCTGTGGTAGACTATAATTTTGAATTTTTCAGTAATGTACTATGATTTTATCAAAATTATTTTCAAGGAAATTTATTTACTTGAAAAATTTGAATGATTTATAGCTCACATAAATGCTCTCCAATTTTTAACACACTGGTTGGTCATTTCCCTCAAAAATAAGGAAATCTACAGCCATTAAAAAAATACAGCACTGGAATATTAGGAAAAGAAAAAAATTATACAGGCCTCCTAGTTCAATTGTGGACTGTATCTTTAGAAGAAACTGGCACAATATAATCAAAATCCATATAACTGAGCAGAGGTATACTTAGTAAAAAGGGAGTTATATTACCAGCAACTGTCAAAGGCCTCTTTTTGATTAGAAATTCTGTATAGTACTCAAAAAAACAAAGGTGACCACCTGCAGACGTGTGCAACAGCACGAGTCTTCATGGTCTGGGAGTGTATTTCACTGACACATGCAAGGAGAGTGAGCTTTTAGCCTAAAGAAAGAGAATGAGCAGAAGCATCAATGGGCAACAGAGGCCATGAAAGTGACAGCAGCAGCAGCAGCAGCAACAGTGGCAGCAGCAGCAGCGGCAGCAACAGTGGCAGCAGCAGCAGCAGCAGCAGCAGCAACAATGGCAGCAGCTGCTACATCCTCTACCTTTGCAAGTCATGCTGTTTTGTATCAATGAATCACTTTGCACTTAATGCAACTACCAAAAATCTTTGTACTTGGCTGCAACTTCTCCTTCTGAGATGACCTCCACAATTAAATCTCTCAAAAACAAAGCAAGCGACCAAATGAAAATGCTGTACACACCAACATACACAAGAAAGCAGCACAGGTATTATTACCATACACTCCAATACTCAATAGTACCACAATCTACAAGGGTGGACACTCCCCCGATACCCTAATATGAACACATAAGAGGCCAATATTACAAATTATCTGAATAAGAGTTAGTCAACACAGGTCATATGATCTTACTTCGAGCATCAAAAGGTTCAATACTCATACACTAACACTATTAATACTTACTCCTAAGCTAGCTAAATTGACAATATAAGGTGGAACAAATAATTTTTTGCAACCATAAATTAGTACACACAAAGTTCAAGTAACTTAATATGTTTAATTTTTCTGCCAAGCTCCTAGCAACATCAATTATACTTATCCTGGCACTAGAAAGTAGTCAAACTGTATATGAGGGCTTCATGGATTGGCTAATACAAACAGTCCACAGGCTAATAAACACTAGCAGTGATCCAGACTAGTAGACTAATCCAATTATTAATACCATACTTGTTTATCTCTGAAACACAATACAGCAGTTACATCACAAGAAAAATGTGATAAACTGTAACAAATATTTAAGAAAATAATATTACAGTGTCAGCAAAAAACCCTACCCCATGTCCAGATTACCTGACGATCAAAAGGGGAAAGATATTTTTCTAGTGCAGAAGAACCATTCATGTGCCTGCCTAACGTGTGTGGCAGCAACCTGTATCATCCTTGGTATAAGTGCAAGAGAGGCAGTGAGTGGTTGATTCTTGTGAATTATAGGTGTATTTTTGGTTTTCCTAACCCCAGTTTATTTTATCATTCTGTGAAAATGCATTGGAGCTACCTTTCTAAGGAAAAGGCTTATGTGTTGGTCTTGAGAGAAGAGAACATCTCCATTAAGAAACAGCATGATGAACAGTGTGATTTGAATCGGCTATTAACCCTTAAACTGTCCAAACGTAGCTCTACATTTGCACGTGTAGTGCTCCAAATGTAGATTTCTTTTTTTTGCATAAGAAACAATGAAAAATCAAATGTAGATCTACGTTCGGAGCGCTAAGCATGCGAACGCATATCTACGTTTGGACAGTTTAAGGGTAAACTGTCTCTTGCCACTTTGGTTCCTGCTCTTAAACCAATCCCTAGTCAATCTAAGAATACTTATGTCACTGACTGGTTACCAAAAAGGCCAGTGACCCAGAACCCTGCAATTTCATCATGTGAAGTAAAGAAAGCCCACCCAAACCTGTTCAAAGACATGTCGGTGAGGATCGTATGCCACAGGATGGAGATAAACCACCTTAGCTCATGGCACACAGCTCTAAAACCACTAGTACCAAAGGCTACGACTACCAAGAGGTTGAACTTTTGTAATAAATGTTAGCTGATGCCATTGTTAGCTGAGGGTCCACTGTACTTCTAAACTGTTGTATTCTGAGCACCTCTGCAAAAACAGTGATTATGTGTGAGTGAGGTGAAAGTGTTGAATGATGAAAGTATTTTCTTTTTGGGGATTTTCTTTCTTTTTGGGTCACCCTGCCTCAGTGGGAGATGGCCGACTTGTTAACAAAAAAAAAATTAGGGTCCAGAACAATGGAAGAAAGTGATGTTTGTTGAGAACATCCAAGATAGATCAGAGTGAGTTCATCACCCCTGTGGTAATAAAGGGGTGACTCCCAAGTATAGAGAAGTGTTGAACACTTATACTCCATTATGGTGTAGGGTGTTTGCATTAGTGAGAACGGGAGGGCAGGCCTGTTCTTCCTTCTAAGAACAAAACAATGAATAAATTAAATATATTGAAGTACTAGAGGGCCATCTGAAATTAGCAATTTAACATTCATGACAGCAATTTTTTCAAACAAGACAATGTGCCCAGTCACACATCTAAAATAGTTAAAAGTGGTTAACTGATAACAGTATTAAAGTGCCTGGTAATAGCCCAGAATTAAATCTGATAAAGCTTGTGTATCTCAAAATGAAGGATGACCTAAATAAGTAAGACACCTTGTCAGTGCCAAAGCTGAAAAAGTCGCTTTGGATATTGCTTATTATTTATCTTTAGCAGACTCCATGCCCAGACACATGCAAGAAGTAATCAAAGTCATGGGAGGATAACAAAATAGTCAAAGATTATATAACTTTTAATGTACTTTTTATGGCATTCAAAGACAAATTTTTATTTAAAAATGGGTGAGGGTCAAGTTTTTTTTCTGTCACTATACACTACTTCCCAGTGTCTCACCCCATCTAACACAAATTATATATGACAATATTCATGAAATGTAACTGCAAGTGTCAATAAAAGATGACTAACATCTCTAATTTCCTCTAAATTTAGCCCCCAAAATTCTTGGTAATGATAAAAAAAGGACAAACCTCAGACAATGAATGACAGTCAACAACACTACATACCTGCAGCTGTTCCTGCAGTACCACCATCACCTCCTTCGTGCAATGTGTGATGGATGGCCGTTGCAAGGCGTAGTGTACGTAGTTCATCCTCCAGGGTTGCCAGCTGAGCCAGTGTAGCAGATTCTCGGTCACCGAGGGTCCTCTGTTCCGACCCCTGTTTACCCACATACTGTACTACTCACACATTTTCCTAAATTTGGCTACATTCAACACCACAATTTGATTACTAAGCCTCTTGATGATTAAAATATTTTCTCGAAGAAAGTTGCAGGTCTGTTTACATCACAAATAGAAAGTTACAATATAAACAAATTTGTTATACACACTATAAGTTTAATAGTGATTTGTAAGTTTTATAGTGGTAATAAACTTAAATAGGAAATTTATAAAACACTGTATGCAAATAGAACAAATTTAAGATTATCACACAAAGTTAAAATTCACTAGGTAATATTGATTTTAGATAAGGAAAACCTTAATACATGTAGTGTCCTTCATGCAATGATAGGACAAGTAGGATGGGAGCCAGTTTCAGGAAGCACAACATGCAACACACACCCGCCTCATGCTTGGCGGCAAACCAGAGAAGCAGCAGCAGAGCAGAGCACAGCCCAGCCACCCACTCACTACTGCACCCACCCGGCAAGAGCAAGAAGAAACTGAGTCAGAAATCTGCTTTTAAGACCACTGTGAGAAATGGCTGAGAAAATAATAGTTATGACTTTAGGATAATACATGACAACCTGAGCTCCAATGTTGTCATTCCTAACTGATCTGTAACTCATTGTTTATCTACAGAGACTCTTAGTGAGATACGAGATTAATGCATGCTCTAAGGAAAACTCTAAAATCACTACCCATATAATGAATATCTTGAAAATATAATAACAACAGTTGTAGGTGTTACGCATTTGTTTCACACCTAAAGATAAGGGGTTATCAAGAAAATAAATTTTGAAAAACACACTTATGTCACTGATTGGAACAAAATTCTGTATTTAGGATGGACTACCTGTTGATTCTGGAGTTTGCTTAATAGCAGTGTATGCAGTATAAAGTGTTAAGCAAAAGTGGTTGAAAACTTTGAAAAAGCTATCATAATTTTAGGAATGCTTCTGAATTAACATGCAAGTGTTCAATACAGTACAAAGAGACTTGGAGCTGTATGCAATAAAATACCCCAAGTTCAGTTTGTGCACTATGCATCTTCCACATTCTAATGACAGACTTCCCTCACTTTCCTTTTAGGAAAATTTGGAGAATTGCTAACTTCATAAAATTTGTGCTCAAAATCAACTTCCACTAACACCAAAAATTGAGAAATTTTTTTTTTACCAGAAATGGAAAGAAGCACACACTAAGCTATTTTCTGTGATTGAACAGCCAAATACCAACACTAAAACTGCCATCACCACAGATGTTTAAAATCCAGTAACATTGGTACCTGTGTATAAGCTGGAGGTACAGAGGTACAGGCAGTGCCTGAAGAAACTGATGAGGGTATATGATCACTGGACCTACAATAACGTCTGTCACTACGTCTCGGGGAACTAGTGCAGCTACTATTGCCACCCGATGGAAGATCCTGTAAAAGATTTGAAATGTTACCTAGTGAATGAAGCCTTTATATTTATCCAAGTATTGAATATTAAAAGCCCATTACTGTTTATTTTTGTATCTACTGACCTCTACACTGTTATTCTAGTTATAATTTTGCAACTGGTCCCCTGAACACTACAGCAAATAAATATCTCTGGCATGCCTAGCATATGATTCAACCTATTGTACGTACAAACTTAATGTAATGTAGATACACACACACCAAGCTTGTACAAAGCTCATAAATTTAAAAACTTAAAATACTGCCTCATTTAAGTATCTTAATTAAGCATGTGCATCATTCAAACCTTTAAGTACAGTGAAAGTTCGGTTTTCGATTTTTAATCTGTTCCAGAGAGTCAGACAAAAACCGAATTCAACGAAAACTGAAGCAATATTTTCCATAAGAAATAATGTAAATCTAATTAATCCATTCCAGACACCCAAAAGTATTAACAAAAAATACATTTTATAGAGAATAAATATAGTTTTACATACAGAAAACAATGAGAAATAAATATAAATGGCTAATTTTAATGATAAATGAGCATTTAACATCACACTTATCTTTATTGAAGACTCTTGTTGGCGTATGGGATACGGCGAGGAGGGGAGAGGAAAGAGAGGTTACTGTTTGGAAGGGGAATCTCCTTCCATAAAGACTTCAGGCATGAAGGCCCTATCCGGGGTTACTTCCTTTTTTGTCTTTTACTGGCACTAGCTTCAAAGTCACTGTGCCCCTGTCGCACAAAAAATCTGTCCAGAGAGCTCTGTTTCTGGCGTCTCTTTAAGATTTGCCTGAAATGGGACAAGGCATTGTCATTGAATATGTTGCAGACATGGATTGCAACAGCTTTGTTAGGATGATATTTATCCACAAAACCTTGCGCCTCACTCCACTTTGCACAAATGTCCTTAATTGCTGAAGAAGGCACATTCTCCCCTCTAACTCCCGCTAACTCTTTTTCATTATCCACACCAACAACAACTTTTCAACATCTTCGACTGTTTGCAATCTCTGTTTCGTTAGCACACTCATCCTTTTCGCAACATCAGCTTCCTTGATTTCTCTTTTCTTCGCCAGGATGGAATTGATCATTGATGAGGACTTCCCATACATCCTGGCGAGATCAACCATACATACACCACTTTCGTACTTTTCAACAAGTTCTTCCTTGAATTCTATCATGTTTTTCACCTTCTTTATCAAAGGACTGGCACTCAGAAATTTCTTTGGCCCCATGGTGGCTTATTTAGCAGTCACACACAATAAACAAGCACAAAAAAACAATAGATTATTACGAAATGTTTCGTATGAATGAGCAAGGTAATGTTCACTCGCCAAGAAACAACGCCACACTGACTCAGAATGCGTGCATGGGAGGCTTTGTGTGCGCACGGCAGGCAGACATGTTTGGTACAGCGGATGAAATCCGATGTGAGGAACGAAAACAGAGACAATATTTTGACGAAAAGTCGTCAATAACCAAAATTGATGGAAACGGGGGCAAACAAAAACCGAGGTTCCACTGTATTGTACAACACATTCAGTGGCACAGCCATGATTTTGGTATGGACAGAAGGGAGGTGGGTATGTTAAGCCAAGATTTCAATTTGGAAGCGACGGAGGGGATACATTAAGCCAAGATCTCAATCTGGAAGGGAAGGAGTGGGGGTACATTAAGCCAGGATTTCAATCTGAAAGTGGAGGGTGGGTACATTAAGCCAAGATTTCAGTCTGGAAGAGAGGGAGGGGGGTATGTTAAGCCAAGATTTTAATCTGAAAGGGAAGGATGGGGGTATGTTAAGCCAAGATTTCAATCTGGGACAAAATGGGGTACATAAGCCAAGATTTCAATCTGGGAAGGAATGAGGTACATGAGCCAAGATTTCAATCTGGGAAGGAAAGGGGTATATAAGCCAAGATTTCAATCTGGGAGGGAATGAGGTAAATAAGCCAAGATTTCAATCTGGGAGGGAATGAGATACATAAGCCAAGATTTCAATCTGGGAGGGAAAGGGGTACATAAGCCAAGATTTCAATCTGGGAGGGAATGAGGTACATAAGCCAAGATTTCAATCTGGGAAGGAATGAGGTACATAAGCCAAGATTTCAATCTGGGAGGGAAAGGGGTACATAAGCCAAGATTTCAATCTGGGAGGGAATGAGGTACATAAGCCAAGATTTTAATCTGGGAGGGAATGAGGTACATAAGCCAAGATTTCAATCTGGGAGGGAATGGGGTACATTAAGCCAAGATTTCAATCAGGGAGGAGCTTAATAATCACATGATGCTGAAAAATTCAAAGAAATCATTTTTAAAAGAATATATTTTTCAGTATATGAAATTTCTCGAACTATCATGCTTTCATAGTCACTAGTCAATATAAAACAGTGAAAATTAGCCATTAACTGGAAAAATTAAGTTAGATAATTTGCATCTGGGAAAGCTATAGCCCCTTAAGCTACCCTTACCCCTTCCCCTCTGTGGCTGTGCCACTGAACACATCCACTCTTTATTCTTATCTACATTACAATTCCTAACCTAATTATAACTCATACCTCAGTTAAAATATATAGTGTGCTTGATATGATGATATTATAAGGCATACGGTACATATATTTTTTTTTTCAACAAACCAGCTATATCCCACCAAGGCAGGGCATACCAGGAGTATACTTGGAGAAGGTTTCAGGAGTCAATGCCCCCACAACCCAGTCTGTGACCAGGCCTCATGGTGGATCAGGGCCTGATCAACCAGGCTGTTACTGTCAGCGGCACATAAACCGACGCACGAACCACAGCCCAGCTGATCAGGTACCGACTTTAGGTGATTGTCCAGAGCCTTCTTGAAGACAGCCAGGGGTCTACTGGTAATCCCCCTTATGCATGCTGGGAGGCAGTTGAACAGTCTTGGGCCCCTGACACTTATTGTGTTGTCTCTTATCGTGAAGGTGGAGCCCCTGCTTGTCATTGGGGAGTGATTTTCGTGTGCAAATTTGGTACTAATTCCTCTAGGATTTTCCAAGTGTACCTCTTCCACCTGTGTTGCAGGGAATACAAGTCGAGGAACTTCAACCGTTCCCAGTAATTTAAGTGTTTTATCATACTTACGTGTGCCGTGAAGGTTCTCTGTACATTTTCTAGGTTAGCAATTTCATCCCTAGTTTTGAAGGCTCTCATTATCCATCCTGTCACTTTTCTAGATGTGGTAGATACAATGTTGTGGTATTTGAAAGTGAGAGCCTCTGACATTATCACTCCCAGGTATTTTACATTAGTTTTTTGCTCTATTGTGTGGTTGAATTTGTTTTATACTCTGATATGGTTTTAATTTCTTCATGTTTTCTTATCGGAGTAATTGAAATTTCTCTTCATTGAACTTCACATTGTTTTCTGCAGCCCATCTAAAGATTTGGTTGATGTCTGCCAGGATTCTTGCAGTGTCTTCAGATTCAGGTGTTATGCAAATTCAGATGTCATCTGCAAAGGAAGACATGGTGCTGTGGCTTACATCCCTGTCTATATCAGATATGAGGATGAGAAACAAGATGGGAGCAAGTACAGTGGACCCCCGGTTAACGATATTTTTTCACTCCAGTAGTATGTTCAGGTGCCAGTACTGACCGAATTTGTTCCCATAAGAAATATTGTGAAGTAGATTAGTCCATTTCAGACCCCCAAACATACATGTACAAACGCACTTACATAAATACACTTACATAATTGGTCGCATTCGGAGGTAATCGTTATGCGGGGGTCCACTGTACTGTGTCTTGTGGAACAGAGCTTTTCACAGTAGCTGCCTCGGACTTTGCTCTGTTGACTACTACTCTTTGTGTTCTATTTGTTAGGAAATTATAGATCCATCTACCAACTTTTCCTGTTATTCCTTTATCATGCATTTTGTGTGCTATTATACCATGGTCACACTTGTCGAAGGCTTTTGCAAAGTCTGTGTATACTACAACTGCATTTTGTTTGTCTTCTAGGGCATTTGGGACCTTGTCATAGTGGTCCAGTAGTTGGAACAGGCAGGAGCAACCTGTTTTAAACCCATGTTGCCCTGGCTTGTGCAACTGATGAGCATCTAGATGAGTGGCAATCTTGCTTCTTAAAACCCATTCAAAGATTTTTATTATGTGCAATGTTAGTGCTACTGGTCTGTGGTTCTTGGCTATTGCTTTACTGCCCCCTTTATAGAGTAGGGCTATGCATTGCTTTTAGCAGCTATGTCCATGTTCCCTCTCCACAGAATGCTAAAAGCACATGAAAGGGGCATCTTGCAGTTCTTGATGAACACTGAGTTCCACGAATCTGGGCCTGGGGCAGAGTGCATGGGCATGTCATGTACTGCCTTTGCCAAGTCATATGGTGTTAGGATAATATCAGAGAAGTGTGAAACTACCAAATTCTGAGTCTTGGTCCTAAAAAATTCATTTAGGTCTTTGACTCTTAGCCTGGTTAGCGGCTCACTAAAACTGAGTCATACTGGGATTTGAGTAACTCGCTCATTTCCTTGCTGTCATCTGTGTAAGACCATTCTCATTTAAGCAGGGGCCTAATACTGGATATTGTTCTCGACCTACATTTGGCATAAGAAAAGAAATATTTTAGGTTTCTTTCAATTTCATTTATGCTTTTAGTTCTTCGTGCATTTCTTGTCTTCTGTAAGATTCCTTTACCTTAAGTTTGATATTTGCTATTTCTCTGACAAGTGCCTCCCTTTGTATTACAGATATATTGGCCTCTTTCAGCCTCGCTAATTCTTCACCTTCACCTGTATAGGGAGTGCCTCTCTTTTTCTAGTTTACATCTTTTCTTCCTTTTCCTTAACCCTTTCAGGGTCAGTCCTGTAAAATTACAGCTTTGACGCCAGGGTCGGTCCTGTAAAACTACGCCAAAATTCTAGTGGCTTCCAATCTTGTGGAGAAAGTTGGTAGGCCTATATATGAGAAAATGAATCTGCATAGTCAGTTTACCT